TAATATGGCAATAGCCAACAACAAGTGAGAGAGCGTGTGTGAGAGAAACTGAGAGCGTAAGAGGACACACAATCAATAAGTACGCAGACTTGCAAAGCTTTCCCTGAGCGCTAATGACAGAGAGAGCGAGAGCGCGAGAGCGCAGCGCGCACAGCAGCCCCCCGCCAGGCGTCATGGACGCCTTCGCCGTCCCCCCCCCCGTTCCCGTCTCAGCCACATCTCCACAGGCAGCACATGCTGCCAGCACGTCATGTTTTCGGACTTTGGGCTTTTTAGGCAATTATCAAGTTTGCAGCAGCCAATCGAAATGTAAACAATGCATTTTTTAATTGGCAATCGCCAACACTTTGCGAAGCTTTCACAGAATTTTACCGTTTTTAAGCGCGACTTTGCCAGCGGGCAAACTGTTTAAATTGTTCTCAACTTTGCACTCGGTTTGAATTTTATTTGCTGCCTTGCGCTCAACACGTCTGACTTTCAGCGTCGCCACAACACGAATGTCAGGTGTGCGTGGATTCCGGCTCCATTTTGTCTGCTCCTTGGCTGGCCATGTCTTATTGCCTGCCTGACTGTTGGCTCTCTGCGAGCGAGAGAGAAAGCGCGCGAGAGTGAGCGTGAGTAAAAGTACCATTAACCGTTATTGTTTTGGACTCCCAGCGCTGCCAACTTGCTGTGCGCCAAGCAGAGTTGCTTGAGGCCAGCTGTGCAGAGTTGCAAGCACTGGCATTTACACTGCGCAAAAGCCGAACGAGCTTTCGCTAGCAAATGTAACGGTTAAGCCGGCATAAGGATAACGATGATGGTAATCATAAAGGCAACTCAAGTGGCCACTCATCGGCCAAGCCAATCAGCCTTATCAATCTGTCAACTCTTTGCATAGAAAACGAACATACGGCCACTTAGGGCCAAACAAAGCGCCTGCATATCGCAAGGACCTCAAGTGCGACAAATGTTCGAGCAGCCTCTCAAGGTGGGCAAATTACCGCCGCAGGTCGCAGTCCTAAACTCATAATTAGACATCACTGGATGTGGGCAACATGAGCAGCTGCCGCTAGCGATGCCCGCAGAAGAGCTCGCAGCTCGTTCAGTGCTGTTATGCGGCTGCGATCCTGCATCATATGCGGGCTTGCCAGCAAAGGTATGTCCATATCCGTGTCCTGCGCTGTGTGTCTCGTGCCAAGGTGCAAATGCAAGTTACACGCACTCAGATATCAGTTTACATGCCGCGTTTTTATTATTTTTGAAACCCAATCGCCACAAATTTTAATGACTTTGCCTGCCCCGCCTGACTTTTTGGGCACGCCCGCGTTGCCGTATTCTATAAAGCGATGAATGATGCTGCCTTCCCCCCCCCCCCCCCCCCTGTCAACCGTCAGTCCGTCCGGAGGTAAGGGTAGTTTTTTATTTCGGCATGATTTTACATAATTCCATCACCCTTCCCGGGCTGTGTGCATTGAAGTTTCGCTTTGTACAGGACATCTACTAAATAGTATACGGCTCTTTTGACGCTTTAAATTGATTCACACCGCACACGCACACGATGAGCTGCCACCACGCACATCCCCCGGCATCCTGTTGGGCTTTTTCAGTGCGGCAGCGCTTGTACCCTGTAATATATTAACCAAGTCCAAAGACTTGCCTGGCATATAAGGAAACTCGAATATAAGAGGACCTTTGAGAAGTCAGGGGACTTTTAAGGACCACGAACTATATCCTCTTACGATCATAAAAGTATTTCTTTTAAATAAATGTTTAAATATTTATGCGCATATATAACTATTTTATATAAAGAAAATTTAATAACAAATATGTACATGTGTACATTAAATATCTATCTAATATAATATATCCTTTGTGTTCCCACTTTTACTACATTTTTTTCTTTGTTTTCTTGTTCTTAATATAAAAGAAATGTATTCATGGTTAATTGTGAGTCCAAATGTACATTTCACATTTGTTTTTACATATTCTTTTTTATCACAATTTCGACAGGATATCTCCCAGTCGCACACTCAGCTGCATTATTCCCGGCTCTTTTCCGTGCTGTCATGCATTTGTATTTGATTAAACATTTTTTACGCACTTCCGTTCGGGGCATCATTAGTTGGCGTGTTCAACGTTTTGGTCCAGCAGCGCACCACCCCCGCCGGCAACCCAGCCCAACCACGCCTAATACGCACCCCTTGCTGCGGCATTTCCTTAACGCAGTTGCCGTTGTTGTGTGCTTAGGCGCAAGTTGCATCTGTCCACTTCCGCTATCGAAGTTTCCTGTGCATGCATGCATGCGTGTGTGTGTGTGAGTGTATTTGGTTATTTGTTTTAGCTGCTTTTAAGTGCTGCGTAGTGGAGATCGATGGCCCATGTCAATGTCCTTTAGTGGCATTTCATTACATTTGCACCGTTAGCTGTTTACTGCTGCCGCCGCTGCTGCTGCTGCGGTTTTGTTTACCCATCAGTTGCAGTTGCTTTACGAGCCATCAAAAAGGGCCATTGAACATGATGAGAAAATTGCCAAGACACAAACATAGTAAAACGCCTTCTTCATCGCCATGAATAGACAGAAAACCAATTCCAGTTACAGTTGGGGGTTTCGTAATTCCACCCTCTGAGAAAAGCGATTGTCAGGCATGTGCATGAGCAGTCTATATGGTTATGAGCACTTCATATGGGAAGTGTTTACTAGCGCCACAATTATAAAGTGATTACCCACCAGTTTCTGATGCCGCAAGGGTGAACGGGGGAGGGGAATGTTTGCCTGGCAACCCATATTCAATTTGATGGCAACATAAACTGCGCGTTAACATGCATGCTAAGGGAAAACACCAGAAGTTTCTCTTCTGTTTATTTTTTTTTTCACATTTTATTCAATAAGTTTTATAATCAAATTGTACAATTTCTCTCAAAATGTTATCAAAAATACAAATATTACGTATAAAAATAGATTTGTTTCAATCTTTATCCTTAATTATGGTACACATTCGAATTCGTTTGTTATTGTAAATGCACTCTGCTCGGACAAAAACATCGAGCACAAGTCGTTGTAAACTTTAGGCTTAATATTTTAATATCACAAAATCTCACTTAATAGTTAGATATGCTTATCAGTGATATATTACGTATCTCTAGTATATATATATATATATATATATATATATATATATATGTATATAGTTCTATATGGTAGATTGAGCGAAGTTTTCCCACTTTCGTTGTACTCTGCGGTTACAACCAATTGCATTGCATTCTACAGACTAAGGAACAATAGCGCTGTGATATTGCTCTGAATTGTTTGCTTATAAATTAAGAGTTGACTTTTAAGTACACAACCGCCGGTTCTGTTGTTGCCTCTGGCCAAGAATATATACCATAGACCTATTTTATGTACATTTATGGTGTCTACAAGTTGTACTCTTTTAAATACTTTTACTGGTAGTGAAACGCTGGTTCAGTGTCCGTTTTTGTGAGCCTAACCAAAATAACTAACTAACTAAGCTAACTGAACTAAACTAAACTAAACTTAACTAAACTAAACTGATGCTGAGCTAATGCCTCAAAACTTAGGGTTCTACAAAATGACTAGAGTTCACACTCAACTTTGGTTACCAGCACGGAAACTGGATTTCATTGCTTAGTTTAGATATTTCGTTGGTTTTTTTTTGGTTTGGATGAACTTAAAACTAGTACTGCACAATTTCGCCTGAATTTCGATTTTGAGTTTTTGAAATTTGAAAGAAAATCAAAAATGTAAATAAATGATTTGCCTAAAGTTAAACTAGAGCTGTGTATGAAATTGAATAAATTTTAATGAGTTTTAAAATAATGTTGACTAGCTTCTAAGTTGACTAGGGGACTGCCTAAATTGCTGACTAGAATGTGATATATGCGTGTTATGATGGTGGAATGGGAAAGTATGATCTTATGTATAATATTATAAGAAATGTTATTGTGATGTGTGAAAGGTGATTGTAGAAAAGTGAAGATGAGAATGAAAACGAAAGCATATATATTGCTTGAATATGGATGAAAGTTGGAATGAAGGTGATGGAAAAGTAGATAGATGACAAGACTTAAGTTGATATTGCGAATGAGAATGAATATATATGATACGCAGATAGATGAAAGGTGAAGTATGAAGAAAATATTAGGGAATAAGTACTAAAGTGGAATCTCGAATGAATATGAAATATATATGATACGAAAATAGATGAGAGTTAGCGGAAAATTTGGTGGAATAATGAGAATCGGAGTTAAGAAAATGTGTTTGAATAATGGATAGATGTTGACATGATATAAGTTCTCAAGTGGAGAATGTGAATGATTTTTATAAAAGAATATTTCTTTGGTGACATTATGTTGGTTGGAAAGGAAAGATTTAAAAAAAAAACTTTGAAAGTAGAGTGAGTTTTTGATATATGAAAGATAACTGGGATTCGAATTTCCTATCTCTATAGCTTAGTCTGTATATTTTTTGTTTGGTATGGTTTATTGCCATTAGTTGATTAAGATCTGACTAGACATTATCTATATGACTAGAACTTTTCTGACTACACGAAAAATGCCTTGGCCTGCTCTGGCCTTGGCAATTTTACTGAGATCATATTGAAGCTGACTAGTTCCAAATATATACTTGGACTGACTAGAAATAAATACTAAGCATACTTTAAGGTAACTAATTAAAATCTAAACTGACTAGACTGTTTGCCGTCTTTGGTTTCAATTAGTACACACAAAACTGGAATGTTGATCGAAGTTTGGAGCTGACTAGAATGAAAACTCATTGGTAAAAACTAAATGACTAGATAATTGAGAAATCAACTAGTAACTAAATGTGTACAACTAAAATTCAATTCAAGTCGAATTCGCATGATAAAAACTAATTTCTTTGGTCTGTTTCAGCTGCAGTTCTCCCCAAAACAAGAGAAAAATTAAACACTAAACTTAACAATAGGGGACTATAAACAAATTATACAAGTGCCAAGCGGTCCAAATTCCACACTTACTCAGTGCGCCATCGTCGTGTGTTGAATGACGGAGGCGCAGTTACGCAGATTTGTGAGAGCAGCAGCTGCAATGCTCTCCTCCTCAGTCAGGCCGTGCTCCACTATCTGGAGCCGACCATAGCCAGCGGAGGAGGTGGAGGAGCTGCAGTCGGACATGAAGTCGGCCTCGTAGTCATAGTGACTGCTGCTCGCCGCGCCCGCCACATAGACGCCTTCATCGTCGTGGGTGCCCGCGTAAGAATGCGAACTGCTGGTCGAACTGGAGCTATTGGATTTATAAACGGCTGTCTGGAAGCTGCCAGTTATTATGTTAGCTGACTCTGGCTGCCTCTCCAGCCCTGACTCCAGTTCCGGCTCCAGTTTGCCGACAGTCTGCGCCTTCTTTACATGCGTCTGTTGATGCTTGCGCAGATAGGCAGCCCGCTTGAACTTCTTGCCGCACTCGCCGCAATCAAAGGCCAGCTCTTCGGCTGGTTTCTTGGAGGTGGCTTGTGGCTGTTGCACCTGTTGATTACTGGTGTTGCGATTCTCCTTTTTGGCAGCGGCCGCCTCCTTCTTGGGCTTGTGCCAGCGGCGATGGGAAGCCAAGTTGGCGGGGCAATTGAACTGCTTGCCACACTCGGGGCAGCGATACTCGAGCAGCACAATGCAGGCGCAACGATGGCGTGCCAGACCAAAAGCATCGTCGAACTTGATGCGGCACAGCCGGCACACATAGTCACCAATTACGTTCCTAATGGCAGCCAGCTCCGCCTTGGTCTCCTCAGTAATTTCGACAATGTTGTACTTGGGATCAATGTCGCCATTGCTGTACTGCATGCTGCCATCGGTGATGTCCTCCAGCGGCCTGATGATGGTGCCCGAAACTGGTGAACTTGTCTCCTCATCGAACTTTAATTTGCGCGTTGCTTTGTTGCGCGTCGATTTGGCACTAGCTGTGGCCGCTTTGCCGGTGCGCGGCGCCGTGTCCGAGACTTTAATGGGCTTTGCGGGCGTCGCATCGACGGGTGCGGGACTCACCTCAGATTTGGCCAATTTGGCAGCGGGCAAAGCTTCGCTTTGTTCGCTCAACTTGCGCTTGAGTGAAGCCACTGCGATTTCAACGGCAGCTGGACTTTGTGGCGGTGTTATGGGCTTCTCCGTAATGACGACCACCTCATGCGCCACCCCCTGTGTGAGCTCCTGTGTGAGCTCCTGTGGCAGCTCATCGGCTGCTGCTGCTGCTGGCTCGCTGTGAACCTCAGCGAATGTGGTCGCCATTGGCACATCGCTGCTTGGCACTGGCGACGGCGGTTTCACGGACAGGTCCAACGGAATTTCACACTTGGTTTTGATGTTCAGATAACGGCTGCGATACTTGGGCGGCAGCGAGGCCACTGTGGTCAGCAGACCGAGGCCATGGGGCAGCCCCCCAGCTGTCGCATTGTGCAGCAGCTGTATGCTGTGCGTGTGCGGATGCGGATGCTGGCCGTGGTTGGACACTGTCGGCTGATGGTTGGCGACGCTGGCCATTGCACTGTTCCGCGTATCAACGAAATGGTGATAAACTGAAACTTGAACGCGCTTTAAGAACTTGATCGAAACGATAAACGAAAACGGAAACGGGGAACGGCTAAAGATGAGCTATGAATGGTGAACGGTGAACGGTGAACAGTGAACGGTGATCGGTGAACGGTGATCGGTGAACAGTGAACGGTGAACGGGAGGAACAAAGAGTTGAAGAACTAAGCAAAACTTAACAACAAATTGAAACGTTGGCAACGTTGAGCGCTCCTTTGGCTGCTTCCTGTCGGCTCGACGTTTTTGCTGCGAATGACTAACATCATATCCTGCCGCCTCTATTTATGTGTGCCAAAGGAAAGCGAAATTAAAATCATTGTTTGTGTGTTGTGACGGCGTCGCTCTTGGAAATTTCATCCCCCAATTCGAGTCGTTGTCCTTTTAGCCCTCGCCGTTGCTGCCACTGCTGCTGCTGACGTTGACGCTGGCAGCGACGCCGCCGCCAAGCCGGAATCTTTTGTTAGCAATCACACACATTAGTCACCCTTTTTTCCATACAGACACACACACACACACATACACACCAACACACACGCTCGTCGCCAGGCGGGGGGAGCCGGAGCAGTCGTCGACGCTGGCAGTGAAAGTCCTTTGCACTGTGTCTGCCTGCACTTGGAGAAATCATTGTGCAGCAATTTTATGTTGCAGCTGTGCCTCAGGTTGCCAATGCCACGTAGCCAAAAAGGACACGCGACAGGAACTGGAACACATGTTCGGGTCTAACGTGCAAATTCTTTAATTCATGGAAATTTGGCAACGCACAAAAGATCTGTCTGGTATCCTTTTGGATCCTTTCTTGTTGATCTCGGCGAACAGCTGATAGCCATGAAACCGTTAATTGTGCGTGTAACCAGAGGTAAATGTGCTCACAACAGAAACTCAATGGGCCAGAATGACCTGAAGCAGAGCCCATATTGTGTTACCTTCATGTGCACACTCTTAAGCAGCTGTGGCAATCGGAAACATTTTTATACTCATCATCATGAAGGTGAGCATCATAAATAAATAAATCTGAATACTGTTGAAGTCTTCAGATATCAGAAAGAATGAATTACGACCTGCTTAATACCAGAGAAAACAACCTTAAGCTTCTTACTTGTACTATATTATTATTCAATTAATATATATTTAACATAATTAAGTATAGGCTCGCTCCGGAATTAGAACAGCCAGAAGTATAATTCGCTCGAAAATCAGTCCGAATAATTGTGCTTTAACTCTTCAAAATTCGTATTTAATTTTTAGAATTTTAGCAGTTAATGAAAAGTAAAATACAACTTAAAATAAACTATTTTGTAGACTAGAAAAACGGTCCTAACAATACTTTTGTAGACCAAAAACACAAGTTTAATTCCAAGCGTTCTTACAGGGCTATAAACCCAAGTTATGCAAAAAATGCAGGAAAGTTTCAAATTAATGTTTTTCGCGCTTTTCTCCGTCTAACAGTGAAAATTGCAGCTTCCTAGTCAATCATTCAGTCAGGACAAATAGTTTTGTATATAGAGATATACAGCTAGACTAGTTGCGTAGCCTTGAAAATACTTTGTGCATATTCCAGTTGCGATGTTCGCCAATTTTCTTAGAATCCACAATATCCACTGTCAAACTGATAGCAAAAGTTTGCTTAATTTTTTCAAATAAAATTAATATTGATATACTGATAAATTATAATGATAATATTATCATTAATTAAATTAAGATCTTGCGCTTATGTTCCTTTGGTATTTTCCAGTCAAATAATTAAATATATTATGTTCGCATGTGTTTTTTCTCTACGTGTATTTTTTGGTGATTGCTGCATTTTCAGGTTTTCATTGGGCTGGCTCTGGCTGTGTCAGTGTCGACGACTTCAGCTCCTGCTCTCGCTCCTGCTCCTGCTGCTGCTCCTGCTCGGTCTTCGTACACGCTACGCACAGACGCCGCACACAGACACAGGCAAGCTTGTCAAGTTTGCTTTTGGTGGGGTAGGCACATGGCACACACACACACACGCAGACACACAAAACTCAGCTTGGTCTGCTCAGCCACCACAAAGCGATTGTCAGAATGCTTGGAGTGTGTGCGAGTGTATGTGTGTGCTTTACATTAATATAATCGAAATGCGACGCCGTTGCCGACGTTGTCCTCGTGGTTGCCATGAAAGGGAATGCACTTTCGATTCCCAGTGAAGGGCTTTTGGTTGTACCGCTCGCACCAAACACAAATATGGCATATTATGTTCAATATGACGCCATTGTTGTTGTTCCTGCTCCTGCTGCTGCTGCTTCTGTTGTTGTTGTATTACGGTAGGCACGTGCGTGGTAACGGCAACGACGCTGTCGCCACCCCAATTGGGCTTAAAGTATTCCCAGAGCGACAGCGTTGCCGCTGCAGCATTTGCCAGTGCCGATCAGCTACGGGGTGGTGACCCCCTCGAAGCTAGAATCTGTGTTTGCCATGCAGCTTAGAATTAATAGCACACGCACCGAGTAGCCGAAGCCAGAGAGCTGCAAGATGCGAGCTGAGAGCTAAGAGCTGAGCGCAAAACAAGTCACAGAAGTGCGCCGGCCACGCGAGCAGCAGCATCCCAGCAACGGGGCAAGGACGAAAATTCCAACCCTGTTTAGCAACCGACTCCCCCTTAGCCCAACGCAACCCAAACCAAACAGCTCATCAGTCAGTCAGGCTGTCAGCTACAAATGCCGCGTTATTTCCATCTAGACTCGCACCTCGATTCGGCATATTCCTTTGACTGCTCGGATTTCTGTGCTCCAAGGCGCGCTTAGCTTAAATTTGCACTCAACAACACCCAGGACGACCCGAGATGACAGTGCGCCCCCCCATCGGACAATCCATTCCCAGCACGGGCTGTTGAGTTGCCTCAGCTACGCACTTTGTTTGTTGTTTGTTGCTTGCTCATTGCTAACCCTTAAGTGCATCTTTTTATGGTAATTTCAAGTGCAGGCCCAGGCCCAGGCCAGCCACGTCTGTCATCCTGCCTGCTTGGCAATAATTAATGTTCGAAAATGCATCGTTTATGTGGCATAATGCATTTGCATTTGTGTGTCTCAAAAGGATTTTCAGCCGCCATGTACTTTTGCTTGGGCAGCTCTTCAAGGATGCTCCACTGTAGCACATGTTGCCATTGTCGCCGCTGGCTGTAACCCAAACTGCTGCCAGCTGGAGCTACCTTTTTCTGGTTTGAGCTGTAATTAAATTTTTGCTTTCATAATTTGATGCAATTTTTTGTGCGGCTCGCAAAAAATTTACAGCAACTGGCTGGGATTTGGTATTTTTCCTCTTGATTTTTTTTCTTTTCGTATTTTTCAGAGTAAAATTGTTTTCCGTTGATTTTCCATTTTTGTTTCGAGTGCCATATGCTGGCGATTAGAGCGGGATCACATCTCGTTGGCATTCGCGTCGCACCAATTAACAGCAATTTAGGTGGAGCGTGGAATTATTTTTGGGTTTCACTTGTTTTTTATGGGGCTTTGCCTACGGCGCTCTGATAAAAATATTTATCAAGCTGCAATTTATTTTTTTTGGTTTATTTATTTAGTAAGCTTTGTGTGTGAGCTCGTTTTCAATTTTTTTAATTGTTGAGGATTTACTTTGATTCTAAAAATAGTCTCAAAGAGCTATGCAATTTTAAAGGACTAACTGACAGCCATTTGTTTGCAGTTGTTTAGTTGAAACTAAAATAAAAGCTGATTCAGCGATAGATTCGTTTGTTTTGGGTTTCACAGGAATTTTAGACATAATAACTAGGAACAAGTAGAAGTGCATTAAGCGGGGTGCCTGACTAAGGGATACCCTGAAGCAAGTGCACCTAATAAAAAATCCTTCATCTGTAAATACTATTCCATGATATCGACTTTTATCGATGGCTTGGAAACGGGGCAAGTTATAGATTATCGGAAACAAACACGTACTGGAAGGACCTTCATTCACAATTTCAATTCTCTAGTTTCTGAGATCGACGCGTTCATACAGACAGAAGGACAGACGGGCAGACGGGCAGACGGGCAGACGGGCATGGCTTGATCGACTTGGCTATTGATGCTGATCAAGAATATATATACTTTATGAAGTCGGAGATGCTTCCTTCCTCCTGTTACATGCAATCGCACAAAACCATTATACCCATTTTCAATGTGTTCAGGGTATACAAATGTGATGGATATATAATTAGAATGCATGTTTGAATCACATAAAAGTTTCGCTAAAAGTTTTCTAATCTTTTCCAAACTGTTCGTTTTTAATCAATTTGATTCTCAGTTCTATAATTTGTATTTAATAACGAACGATTCCCCCAATAAATCAGGCGCAGCATGGGCATGCCAACATGTAAGTCTGCCTAGGATTAAGGAATTTGCACTCTAATCCACAACTGAATACAAACAATAAACCGTATGACTAACCCCCATTTGGAAAGGACCCAGCAAATTGGCAAAGTGAATAGAGCAAGGCAGGAAGCCCAAGAGCAATAATTATATACACTCATATTTATACGTTTATGTGTGAGTCAAGGCGAAATACATATGCGAGCACATGCATTAATTTATTTATGCGCCGCAGGACACTCAAACACACACACACACACATAGATCGCCAAAGCGTTTTGCATGAGCGCGCAAAATGCGAAAAGGAAAAGCGGCGCAAAGAAAAAGGAAAAACAATCACAATTCACAATTCAGTTGGGTGTCGAAGTGCTTCGGGCACGCGACCAGCAACCAACGTTCCTTTATTATTGTTGTTGTTGTTGTAGCTGCTGCTGCTGCCATTGTTGTTACTAATGTCCTTGCTGTGCACAGTCGCTGTCGCTGTCGCAGTCGCTGTCGCAGTCGCATAGTTGCCGGTGCATAGCGTCAATGCTACAAAGGGTCATTTTCCACATAGGCAAACACACATTGGCATGTGCGCCATGGAAATCACAATGCACGCCATTGCAAGCAGCCAACAACCACCCAACAACACACACACGCACACGCACAAAAGTCGATCGGAATCGAAGCCCAAATAAAAATGTAGCCAGGTGCATTTTCAAACACTAACCAAAATGTCGTAGGGCGCACACGAGCCAAAACCAAACCAAGCCGTAAACCAGCGAAGGGTATTAAGGGGAGAAAACAGAATTCGAGCCCCTTGATATAGACCAGAATATAAACCAGAGCTCAAGCGTAGCGCGATTCCGATTCCGATTCCGATTCTGAGGCCGAGGCTGTTGCTGATTTCCAAAGCGCTTTAAAAATGTTTTAGGGCGCCTTTTTACATTTTAGGGGTGGCTAAAACTGCAGCCGCATATTCCAGACTCGTATATCCGCATGTCAGTCACAGTGCACACTGGGCTGGAGGGTTCGAACTGTCGGCCGGAGTATTGCAGGGCTCATATATAAAATATATTTCATTTTTACCCCGTGCCGCTGTCTACTATATAAAATTCCAATTGGACGCGTACACCGCAAAAAAGGGGCGACTCTTTTAATTTTCCCTTTTTTTTTCCTTTCATTGTTTTTTTGCTTTATTATTATTGTTGAGCCGCCGCCTAGCAGGCAAAGATCCTGTGCAAGATTTGCTGTCGGCGTTGACAGCGGCGTTGGCGTCGACGTCGACGTCGCTGCTGTGTGAAAATTGCACAAGTTGCGCTTCTGCTTTTGACAATAGCCTCACATTAACTAGTTTCCGTTGCAATTCCAATTCCGTGGCCGACGCTGCCGCCGCCGCCTCCTCATTGCGACTCGGCTCGCCACTCTTAATGAGTAACTGTATCCGAGTGCTGAGAACTGGGAACCGGCAACTGGCAACTGGGAAGTGGCAACTGCCAACTGTGGACTTCATTACAAAAGCACCCCATTTGCTGCTGCGCCGTTTCCTGTTTGGTTTGTTTCAATTAAATCGCATGTGCGACCCATAAGCAGTGCCAGGCCATGGCCAATACATTGCTCGGCACATGGCTCATCTGTTACTTAATCATGGCATTGCCATGGATACCTCACCACATCAGGGCGGTGTGCATACACTCACTCATACAGCCCATTCGCCCACCCGCTTAAGTTCCGCTGCTGTCATTCACGAAGTTTAAAGCAAATGCTCGCAAATGAGATTTCCTTGATTTTAACTTTTACTATTCTATGGATTCTCCTTTGGACTACAATTATCCCCCAGCTTCTGTGCCGAAGAAAATTTAAAAATTACCATCTGGTACAGCCATCGGCAAAGATATCACAGCTTCTCATTCACTGCCCTCTCAATGGAAAACACATTCATTTTAAAGTTGGTAACTTTGTTGTATATATATACATATATGTAAACAACAATTTGAAATTCCGGCCGATTTTTCAGCTAGGAGCAATATGATACGAAAACATTTAGAAACCGTTTTAGGAAAGGCATCTAAAAGAACTGAACTCGCTGAAGCTTCCAGCTAAGTTATAAATACATATTGATAAAAAAAAACTGAGCACCGTCAAAGGCAAACCTCTACAATTTTCATACACACATTGAATATTGTCTTAGGTTTAGATTGATATTTAGTAATATATATTTTATATCGAGTTATTTATATAATTATATAGCATAACTTTCTTATTACTTGATCACTTGCTCCCCTTACTCATTCCCTGCCACTTCAATAAAATCCATAATTGTAGTCATAGTCGTAGTAACTGGGTGAGGTGTCATTGCGCCAGCCTAGCTGATAGCGCACAAAGTAATCCAAGCCATTGACATCAACGCCCAAAGTGCGCAATCGGTTGACAAATGTTGTGGCTTGTGGTGTGGCCCAGAATCGGTCATAGGCCGGCTCCAGGGCAACAACACGACGCCAGAACTCACCGAAGACGGGACTTTGCTGGGCATTGGTCTCCAGCAGCTTGCGTATTGAGGCCAACGGATAGATATAGTTGAATTCCTGCTCGAAACCGGCTATGCCATTCACCGTCTGCGCCCAATGGGGGTACTTGTTAAACACCTTGATCTCCAGGTCCAGATCGTCAAATACCTTCAGGGAGCCACCTGACAGTATCAGCTGCTGGGACAACCACTGCAGCAGTTGGCGCAACTCCGTCTGATTGAGCAGCTGTAATCGCAGGCGATACGTGGTTAATGCATTGATCTCCCGTATAACTGCCTGGAACTCGGCATCGTTGAGCAGATAGGCCTGGACCAGATGCTCGATCTGTTTATGTGGAATATTGCGCAATAAGCTCTTAAGATCCAGATAGAAATTTCTAGCGGGAGCTGCGGGCCTGGCTGCTATGGGCGCTGTTGTGGTCGCCGAGAGTCCTGTGCCCAGGCAACAGATCGCAATCAGAGCTATTATGGTGCACTGCATCCTGCTGAATGTATGAATATATTCTGGGTTCTGCAGCAGAGTTAAGCTCTTTATATAGGCAGACGCTTATCTGGAGAGCGGCGCATCTTATTTTGATTTGGCTGCTTGTGCATATTTGTTGTAAGCAATTTGATTTACATGGCTACCTTATCCGATGTTTATCAGGCGTCAGGCGTTTGTTTTGCCAAAGCTTCAGATACACGAAAGTAGTTGGACAATAGACAAAGTCTATTTGCCTGTCATCCAATGTCATGATAACCAAATGTACGGTCTTAGTCATCTTCCAAAAGCAACTGTGTGCGGTGATCTGATGCCAGTTGGTGGGAAAAAACTGACTTCAGCGAAATGAAGAGTGTGAAATGTGTTAACAAAAATGACATTTTCAATTTCAACTTATTCTCACTCTCCAATCGATTGTAGGCTTATTAATAAGCGATTATTTTCGGGATAAGGCTTTAAAATAAATACGACAGACGAACTGATTGATACGAATAAATCAACTTAGCTCGTCGTATTGATCAAGAATATGTATGCCTTGTTCGAGATGTCTGCCAGCTGCTTACATATTTGGACAGCGTTTTAAACTCATCTTACCCCTTCTACAATAGGTGTAGGGTATTGGTGCATAGGTTATTCTATACCTTTCACAGATCAGGTTTACTATAACTAACAAAACCTTAATATAAATTCTCTAACACCTGGAAGCTTATATTAATGTTGAGTATATACAAAGTCTTTCCGATTTATTCACTTGCACAGCTCTATACCAAGCCCTATAAAGGTTCTGCTACACCTTATGCAGATCAGGTTTAGTTAAAATATTCGAAACCTAATATTAAATTTCTACACAACCAAAATGATACACTCGCACAGCTACTATACTAATTTTCATTAGTTCCACCCGAAGGGACTTGTCGGTAAAGAGTTCATTGCCTCGCTCGCCTATTAAAAATCTAGCATACAGACGACAACCACTGCGCCCTGGACACCGAAACAGCCAGATGGATAGCTAATTAGGGAACTGGAAACGGGGTGTTTCGTTAGGAGCTACAATTGTAACAGTAGCCACTCGCATGGGCAGATTTTAGTATAGTAGGTATATGTACTAGAAAATTATGGATTTCATGCAATTTATGTGCATAAAATAACGACGACCAAATAAATGAGAGCTGTGCTAAATTGTATGGCACACACACACATGCACAAATACACACACACATATGCACATGCACATAGATAAGAAGCCACCCCAAATGTTGTTTTGGGCCGACTAACAGGGGGTTGATTTTTGGACTCTCGGGCAATAGCATAAGCATTTTTCGGCCAAGGGCGATCGCAGCCCTAAAATGCCAAAGGGGGCAGCTAAAAGCAGCGGCAGCTGCAACATACACACACACACACACACGCCTGCAGTGCTTGGATAAATCATGTGTAAAGGTATTTTGATTTTTTTTTACCCGATATGATAAGCGAGTTGCAGCAGCTGCCGATGCGGGCAACGCAACATCACAAGGCAAATATACAGCACACAAAATGTATTAAAAAACAATTTGAAGCAGAGAAAGAAAACATATATGTTGCTAAGCAAACGTTTGGTAAAACAAGCAACATAACAATTTTTAATTGATTTGGCATGCTTCAATTTAACGCTTCGCTGCCACTTCCTTTACAGCGCGGTTCTCGTGAGTGTGAGTCCTTTTTGCATATGTGCACGTGTCCTGTAATTGCCAGCTTTTAGTTTATTGTAATTTTCAATATTTTGTATACAAAAAATGAAACGAAAATGCAGTTCCCCGTCTGGGCAGTCGCTTCCGCTTTAGGACACGCCAGTGACTCACAGGACACGAGCTGCTCGCTGCTCACAGTATAGAAATTTATATGGCGGAACTGCGAGGCGACGATGTTGACGGCAGACAGACGACAGCGTAATGAACGTCACCGCAGTGCCTTGTCAGCCAAACAGTGCTCAGGTCCTACTCCGGCTACAGGTATGCCTTGCCCTCGGTCTCAGTCTCAGACTCAATCTTATGCTTATTCAGCCTGTTACAGTCGCTGGCTTGGCACGCGTCAGAGCTGAAGGAAACCCTCTGCCCAGGTTGTGTGCGTGTGTGTATGTTTCCTTTTAGGGGTTGCTAGTTGCAAGTCAGTGGAAATCCTTATAAGAAACATTCCGAAGGAAGCGAAGCAACACGTTCAAGACATTGTTGAGTCACCGCAGCCCCTTTTTTTGCGGCAGCATTTATGTGCTTCAGTGACGACCCTTCTCAGTTTCAGTGTCGGAGCCGCCTTTCTTATCGGAACTGCGAGGTGCCCGCCTTTGTGAGCCGCTTGGCTTTGCCCTTTTGGGTTTTCATTCAACTTTCGTCACTTAATTGAGTTGCGGCGCCGCAGAATAAAAAAAGTAGAAAAAAAGGGGCAATTCCTTGGCTGGAAAGTGCCAATTGTAGGTTTTCACTTTAGGCAGCTACAAATTGAAATGCCCACAGACACATTCCCCTGGCGTTGACTTTTTATTCATGTGCCTTTTGGCAAGATATTGTCTTCGGCGTCCTTACCTTGAGTGTGGTTCCTTTTTATGCTCGCTCTGCAGCAGGGAAGCCATTAAATTGATTATAAAAAGTCTTCGAAATGTGTAAACACACTCCGGCCAGACAGCCTGTCGCCCGAGCAGGGACCGCCTCGTCGCCTGCGACTGTCGACTCTCGACTGTTAGCTCTGGAATGCTACTAATTACATGGGCGTTGCGGGGAGTGCCAAGGAGGGACTCATATATATACAGTTTGTGACTTGGGTCTTAAGCAGCGAATGATTCTGACAATTTGTGCGGTAAGCGACAACTTAAGGGTTTATCAATGACAATAATGGAAATAGTAAAAGCTAAAGTGGAGGGCGTGCCGGGCTGCGCATTGAAGCACCTCCTTGAGGAAGGACGCCATTAAGTCGTTAAAATGGGATGTCCTTTGTGCAAATTTGTGGCTGAAAAACTGGTTAACGGGAATTACCGAGCTAACTTTTAGTTTTTTAAGGCCAGCAGAGATGAATGAAGAACTATTATAAAAGGACGCAAGTGCGTTTTGGGTATTGAAAGCATATTTTAGAAAAGAACCAAACTTTAGTTGAATTCGATTATAAGATAACAAGATTTATATTCTAAGTATTAACTTTTAAAGTATTCTTTACCTTAAGGTATTAACTGTTAAGCTTGTGGCTAAATGAAATTTAGTGTATCTTTGAAATGTCAGATACATATGTTTTAAAACTAAATAAACATGAAATAAAAACTAATTTTAGTTTTATTTAATACTAAAAATTAATTAGTATTATAGTTCGTGAAACTATAAAATATTTTTCATTTGTCTAAAATAAAATTATAATTAACATATAAAAATGTTTTGGACATAAACATACTTAAAATAAAAATTTTAATAAAGTAAATTAATTAGTTCGACTTAATATTTGCTTAAAGATAATCAAGTAAAGATTAAAGATCTAGCTAAAATACTTTATTAATTTGCGCTACTCAAGTTCTTATCTGTTAATAAAATTAGAGAACTAATTTTGACCCAAAATTGAATCTTAAAGTAAACAGAAAGCTCTATCAACACGCTTTTCAAACGAATTTCCAATAACTCCGCCAAATCCCTAAGCAGCTCAGCAGCTGCCGGGAATTTATCGAGTGTGCTGGCAGCACGGCATTTCAATTGCTGCCTCGTGGCATGCCACTGATAACAATCCGGCATAGAAATCTGTCATGCTGTTCGCTGCATGACTAGGACCCGTTCCAGGTCCACAGTCATTTGCATGTTCACGGCTTGTTGGCCAGCACACGTGTTCAATTCTACACGCTTGGACCTATTTGCATGAGGTTGTTAAGCGAGCAGATAAAGCTCCGTACCGACTGTTCCAATCAACGAAGTTCCCTGGATGAACATGCCACGTATTTATTTTTTGTATGCATATATGGAAATTAAGCTAACAAAAGGCGCAGCGGGCGCTGCGCAAGCGCAGGCATAGTTAGGGTCGACGGCACGATCCACGACACGTTCCAAACGCAACCCCCAGTTAGATAGCGACACACACACACACACAAACACACACAATTGGCTAGGGAATGTGTTACACATTTTACATAACATTTACAGCTCGACTGCATTTCGGTTTTCTGTGTGCCAGCTGCCGTTGCTGGCTTTGCCAAAAACATGTTTATCCTTATCCAAGGTGCGGTCCATAGGTAAGGCGAGGCCATGCGATGCCAGGCGAGGCTCGCGTGCCACCAGCCCCACCCCATTTCGACATATCGACATTGTGCTGCAGTTTCAGCTCATTTCGATGCTCATAAATAACAACAATAGCGACGCGGATGCAAAAAAAAAACAGAATAATAAAAGCAGCTCGGATCCCCAGGTATTTTTCACGTGTTTGGCACGTTTCACTCGATTTTCCGGTTCTCGATTCCAATACGTATTTGTTCCTTTGCCCTCTAATCCTTAGAGGCGGACGGCGCACGCGGCACGCGGCCGACGTCTTTGTGATAAATTGGGCTTTAAAGCAGGGGTCTGCAGTTCTACCCACCCGACTCCTTTGACAAATGGCCAAAGCTGTGCCACTGGACAGCTAAAGTTTCGGTCTTCCTCTCTCTCCCTCTATCGTTTTTGGCTATTGCCTCTTGTCTCTTCCTCTTCATGACAACATGCAATTGTTTGCTTCATTGTCAAATAAATCTTAGTTCCAGCTTTGTGTCTCTTGTTTTATTTACAAAGTCGCCCAATTATATTAAGTTCACCAATACGCCTATATCATTTATCAAAGTCCTTGGATCTACCATGGTTATTGTTTGATATTACTTATATAGACTTTACAATGGATAAATATTTATTTATTTCTGTCCACATTACAACTCTCTCTGCACGTTACTTGGAAATTTATCTAATCCAGAAATTATTTACCATTTGCAGTTGTTTTCCGCTCAACAGCATACTTGTGTTGACATTAGATAGTAATATTATTAAATAGAATATTCTAACATAGCAATAGTAGTAGTTAAGATTAATTATATTGTCTTGGGTAATGGTCTGAATATACATATATATCTCAAATATCTAGCAAAGAGTGCTCTAGTCGGAAGTTGGGCCAACTTTGAGATACCCTGTACCCAGCGCCCAGTTATACTTGCAAACATTCTAACTTCCTTCTGTACATTTGCACTGACGTGCTTCTCCTTCCCTCCTCCCCACACTATTTATGAGAAATGCATTCTCGATGAGCTTCGTCGTTCATAATCCTAAAATTCAGGGCTTAAATATGACCTACAAATATGTGTTCATATCAAAGTGCAAGGCGTTGTCATTAAGAATTCACTTTTTTTCAATTTTGTCAGGATTTTGGGCATATATTTCAAATATGGAAAGGTCGCCAAAAGCATCAATATATTTTAAAATGAAATATTCCAAATCTGAAAATACCATATGAGACACACCAAGTTTAAGGAATCCAGCTATTATAGTTTCAACCTTTGCTAAAGTCAGCATGTTTTATAATCGATGGAAAGAAAAAAATAATCCTTGCTCTGCGGGAGAACATATATTCTAAATTGCAAGTCTCTAGATATTTAACACATTGACAAGCGGACAGACAGATACACATGGCTGGATCAACTCAGCTGCACATTCCGAACAGAAATATAAATACTACTTTACGGGGTTGAAGAAGCTTCCCTCTACCAGATGCATACATTTGCACAATCTCGTTATACCCTTTAACCCATTTATGGGATCAGGGTATAAAAATGAGTCTTAAGCCGTCTGAACGGAAATAAAACATTTCCCAGCCAACTTACAACCATAATCCTCTAATTTTAACAAAGGGGGTGCTTTTTCAAAAGGTGCGTTTAAGAATTAGCTTAAAGCAGATAAAGATAAACGAGAAAAGATATTCGGCACGCCAAAGTCTTAATACTTGTAAGCATTTGTCTTACGATTCTGCAGATATGTCAGAATTATGAAGCTCCTAAATACGGAGTTTGATGACGATATCTTGGAAAATATAACATTTTACCATATAAAAACTTATCTATCGACCGATTCTTCCAATAGCGTTATATAATATAGTTGTGCGATATGGATTTGGCTCATATATAAGCAAGCTAGCTTTACTAGTAAATGCCGGATTTTGCCAATAAAAGTTATTCATAAAAGATCTTAAATTTCAACCGATCGTTACTATGACAGCTATATTATATAGTCATATAGAAGGAGACAATGTTTCAAGATGAAAGCTTTAAGACAGAGAAACGAGTTCACATAAAAACAGACAGACGGACGGGTGAACGGACGGATTTGGCCATGTTAACTCGGCTATTGATCTTGATATAGAATATATATACTGGAGTCGGATATGTCTCCTTCTATGCATTACACATTACAACCTGACAGAACTATAATACCCTGCACCAGTATATAAATAGGTTATATAGCCGTCTTGATTTGGGCTGTGCGTGATCAGTCAGGACAAATAGTTTAGTATATATAGAGTTCCATAAAAATTTTCGAATAAACTAATTACTTATCGATTAATAAGTCTCACTTTACGCTAGGAAATATTATTAATGCTGAATTAATCCTCGATTGGCGCAGTATTGTCAGATATTTGCTGATCCCAATATTCAAGCTTTTCCTCCATCTGTTTATAGTCCAAACGCTGGGGCAGCACACTCGGCGTTTTCGGAAGTCCAAAGATTCGCAGATGATATAGAAAAAACTCGTACATATCATAGTCATACATCTTGGTGTAATGGAAACTGATGCCGGAATCGGAACAGCAATCGCTCAACTGTAAACATTACATGGATTTACAAAATTTGCACGCATCAAATTTGAATAAGTATTTACATTCGGCTTGAAGTAATCATATTTATCCAGCCAAGTACCAGACTGTATTCGGGGCATCAGATGCCTGGGATGCAGTGGCAGAAAGCGCTCGCGGGCCAGCTCATCTCTAGAGTCACCAGCTACCACACCCACATTCAGCAAGCAGTGTCCAATTTGCCTATCCTCCGCATTAGTATTAAGTGGACAGAACTTTGTATTGTTCAGAGCAAACAGATTCAGGCGACGCAGTGCATCGCGGCTGAGCACATAGCCAGCACCGCCAGACATGTAGCCATGTGGATAGGTTGTGCGAAATCGATGACCAAAGAAAACGGCTGCCTCCGGATCGTATGGATAGAGAAAGAGTCTCAGATTTTCCATAACCACATAACTAGCATATATGGGAATGAGTCGAATGATTCAGCGAACACTTTCTGCAACTCACGTGTCGTCGTCCGCCTTGAGAAACCAGTCGTAATCCTCCACGTAATGTTCATAGGCGTAGGCCAGACCCGCACGCACCTTCGTATACAGATTGTCACGACTCTCCGTCACATTGAGATTGACAGCGCCCAACTCGACATCATCCTGACTGCTCAAGAAGATCAGCTTGTTGCAGCGTGCGCCCCATGTGGACAGCACCTTGGCTGCTTTAGTCTTATGCTGCGTTGGCATGGTCAGCACCAGGCACAGCACACGCGTCTCATGGTAAAGCCGATCCGCCAGCGTTGCCTTCGCCAGCGGTGTGGGCGCGGCCGTGTCCACAGCAATCGCGGTGCTCTCGTATTCGTTACCTGTGAGCATCACATAGTCCCACAGCTCAGTCAGCTGCATGCCCACAATCAGGCCCAGCACCAAACACAGCACATTCCGGAACATTACGCACCACAAGCAATGACATTTGCCAAATATTGTTTAAGCCTTACGAAATCTTTAACTGCGACCGCATTGTGCGATGTGCCTCTTCATTCAGTTGCCACACCGCGACTGTTTTTCAGCCCAGTTGCTTTCAGCTCGAAAATGGTCTCTTAATGAGTATCACTCCGGGCTAAAAACGAGTTTTGTTTTGTTACGTTTGTGATTCGCATACCAAATGAATCACAACTCTCTTAAGACATTGTCCGACTGAATATATATATTTTATTTCTTCTGCTTCACTTTTTAAGTGCAACAATATAGGAATTTTTATACACTTCGAATTGCAGAACATGTTTCTACAACTTTGATAAGCCCAAAGAATTAAATGCCCTGTTGTTTTTTATACAAAGACTTTAATTTCTTCAAATTTTGTCCATTGGAGCTACATAAAGCTACATAAAGCAGACCCTTGTCGAAAAGATTTTGAAGACTTTGCTAAGTAAGTTTTCCTTGCAAAAATTCATTTTCCGCCCGATTGCTAATAGAATAGAAATATGGTATAATATACCTTATAATTGGTATAATATTCCGATGCTGGAATATATCTTGAAAAAACAAAGTTTACTTTAAAAACTTCTTGGAATGCTGATCAAAAATTTCCACTCTTTCTGTTTGAAGAGCATTCGATTTTCGTCTAGTCAGCGGCGTAATTTTACAATTTCTTAGTTTTTTTTTTGGAGAACCGGTTTTGAGTGTCTTCGTATCGGGCAGGTTTTGACCTACACCTGAATATGATTAGCGACTCTCTCGGTTGGCTCCTTTCACTTTCCACCCGGCTGCAGCGCATCAAACGTTGCACCGGATATTTGAAACAAATTGTTTTGGTAATGGTATTATTTATTTTATTGCTAGTTAATTTTCACTTTAGTTTCTGTTGATGTATAATATTACAATTTATATAGGTATGTTTAAACATTAGTTAGTACAACTTTTTTCAATTCGTTTGTTTCTGTTTAGACTAAATGTGGGCTAATATATTATTTGCTTTGATTTTTTTTAGTATTTTTTTGTATCAATTTCGCTTGGTTAACGTCTTTGAATGTCTTAATATTCGTTTCGTTTTTTTTTTTATATTTGTTTTCTATTTCTATTTGTATTTGTGTCGAAGTTTGTGTATTCAAAATTGCTTCGCGTTTTTCTTCTTCGTATTAGAAAATTATTACAAAACATTTAACTTTAACTTTAACGTTAGATTTGCATGCCGTTTATTTTTTTATTTTTAGCTTAATATTAACTTAACTTGTTTTTGTTTATTTTCTTGTATGTATATCTTATTTGTTTATCGTATTTTCGATTATACGTTTAGTAAGTGCACTTGCCAATTCTCGTTTATTTTACGTTCATTCCTTCTAGGGTCACAACATTTATCTCAATAACTGGAAAACAAAGGTAAACAAAAATTGTCAGGCAATGTCAACACAATGATTTGTCTCATGATGATTCGGCTTAAACAATGATTAATTTGTATTTAGTTAGTCACACAGCCTTAGAAACTACTTAATAACTAAAACATATATGAGGGCAATCAAATTTGCCGTAGCGCCAAAAGCAATATAAAAAGAAAAGGCAACAAAATTCGCATAAAACACAATTTAAAAAAAAATAAAGATATGAAAAATTTGAAAACTAATTTAATACAATTAAATGTAATATTTGATGTGAATTTACAATTGGGTTTCTGGAGTATTCCATTAATATGTTAAAAAAAAAAAAAAAAAAAAAAAAAAAAAAAAAAATGCTTGACAAAAGTGTATAACTATTACGTCTTTAGTTTCGGTTGCTTTTTATATATGCGATGTATGTTAAACATTTTAATTTCGCTTGAAAAAATATAATATGTAAAGTGAAAATATCCACAAAAATTTCATCGCTTTGACATTCGTTTTTTTTTGTTTTTTTCTCTTTTTTTTTAGTATAAATTTAATTTATATATATGTATGTATGTGTATGTATAATTTTGTTTACGTTTAATATGTTGTTAGCTTGGCTTTAAACTACAAGTCCTAATATTATTGTTGTTGCTTTTGTTTACCGTTACTTTACTATGCTTCTTAGTATTTGTTTTGCTTTTCATATATGTCAGTTTAGTTTTTATATATATATATATATATATATAATTTTTTTTTTGTAATATTCCTCGTATTTTTAGGAACCTATTTGTAACTAGCAAAGCGCAGACGCTGTAAAATTTCTATAGAAAAAAATGTTTTGCTATAATTTGGCTTACAATTAATTCATATATGTTTAACATCAAAATATATATGTTTCTTAATTTACATATATTTTGCATATATATATATATATATATATATATACATATATGTACGACAATGCATTACATTATATCCATATTATAATATTTCAAGGTTTCTTGCTATTTTTACAATCGAATTGCGCTGGCATTTACTTGATTTTCGAGCAGTTTCAAATAAACATCATTCGAAATTTTAAAAAGAAATCCATAAAAAGATTTTGCGTCAAATGTAAATTCATAAAATTTTTAATCTTCCTTTTGTTTTTTTGATACTGTTTCTTCACATAAGATAAACAATGTATGTAACTTGTAAGTGCGGATTTGTCTATGATTACATTATAGTCCTAACTTTCCGTTCCTTTTGCTTTTTTTATAGATTTTCTCGTTTATATATATAGACGTCGATTATCAAATATAAAACTTAATTCAACAAAAGTTTGTAACTAGTTGTAAATAATGTATGAAATTTAACAATATCCCTTTGAGAAGTCACTGACTACACAAAAGTATCAAAAAGTTATTGTTTCGGACACTAACTTCTTTCATGCTTTCTTTGTTTTGATGTAATTTTATAGAGTTTTAACATTGGCACGTTATTTATAATATATGTATGGTATATGAATTAGAAAATAAAATATGCATGTGTATGTATGTATGTTTGCCAGCTAAGATATATTAACTCCATATGCAACTAGAATTCTTGATTAGTTGTAATTGTTAACGAAACATTAAATTTGACAATGTAGTTGACATAACTCTTAGCATTGCTTATAAATAAAAATTATATTTTTAAGCCAATTCCACGATTTGTCGCAACAGACAATAAAATATCATAATGGGTGCAAACAGTTTTTATAAAAGTATATTTATATATATATATATATGAATTTAAAATGAATTTGGGATCTAACTAAGCAACAAACTATATAAATTATAAAATAATCGCGCTAATTTCCTTTTTTCTCGTTTCAGTGTTCACTTATTTCGACTTATACACAAAATAATGCTATGTATTCATGTGTTTGCATGTCTTGTATTGTATACAACAGATAGATTTGTTTTTCTTTTAAAGCATATTCAAAGCATTTCAATATGTATTGTGGTTTTAACTGGATGCAAGGCTGATTGTTTGCTCTGGCGCCTAAATGCATGCTATAAACAATTACAAAGAAAATTAAACTCTACAATTTTAGTTATATATGTATCATATATGTATGCTACGTATGTACATATAGAGCTCTAAATGTTTGTCATATCGAAGAGGTCTACAGCTATCTAATATATGCACGCTTCTGCTTGTTTGTGCCATTTTGAATAGGTTGATGCCAAACGGGATTTACAAATATTGGCTGGCTCAAATTTATGAAACTTACTTATATAGTATATGTATATGATAATTTGCTCGCTGTTAAGTTTAGCCATACCATTCGCTAATTTTGTACAGATTTCGTTTCAACGAATTGTTGGTTTGTTTGCTTTCTTGCACAACTAAACTGTTATCAACTTAGGGCTACGGCTAAGGCTTACCAACTAGGAGTTTTGTTTTTATTAAACTTAGACACACTTAGACACACACGCATTCACCACACAAATACAACTACCATTCACACGTACATGCGCTTTGGACTTTGGGCTTAAACATTAGGCATTTAAATATATAATATAACCGTTCAAATTGTATATGCATAAAAAATCAAACTCTGGCATGCCCTTAGGCTGGGTATGCCATTATTTTGACAACTTAGTTTCATTTATTATTCGCTGAGTTTGCAGCTGATGTGGTAGATGCGGCACTGGCCGAGGCATGGGCATTGGTGGCGCCTACTGTGCTTCCAGCGCCGGCGCCATTGCTCGTCTGCATCTGTGGCAGGGTATCGAAACGGCGATAGTAGAGTAGATAAGGCACACGCGGCGTGTGCGGCTGCAGCACTTGCTTCTCGCCGATCGGTTTCACCGAGCTGTCATCGTAGCGCAGCCAACTATTGTAGCCGGTATGAAACACGTCCGTTATATAATGGCCCTTGGATGCTTCCTTGCCATCGTGATAGACCACAGCGAACAAGCGATAGGCGCGCTGCTTTTGCGATGTTTTCTTCGATCCAAGTATCTCTGCGAATAGGTATAAACATGAATCCAACTCCTTGAGGCATAACATGTTCACTTACTGGCATCGATTTTGAGCTCCACTGGAAACTCAACCTTTTTCAATATCTTTGTGCAGCCATCGGACCTATAGTCAAAGTATTTTAAATGCAATATCAAAACGATGGGCAACTTTTCCAAAGTCATTTGCTGCCAGGCGACCACCTCCTGTTTGGTCTTGCTACCAGTGACGCCCTCCAGCTGATCACGGCCAACGAGTATCTCAAGAGCCTCCTTCACCGAAGCGGCTTTCTGCAAACGCCATACCAAGAGTATTTACCACAATCCTTTTGCGTGACACGCTTCCAACTCACCTCAATGTTCAGTTGTAGTGTAAAGAACGGCTGTATAACATCCGTAGAGTGTTCGCCTTCGCGCTGCAGCCGGGAACGCAGTTCACCTCGAAAGATATCACTGAGCGGGGTACGTCCAAAGTCCGTCTGGCGAGTAACGCTGCCCTTGTTGCGATTATTGCAAATCATCTAAAAGTAGTCAATCGTTCCATTCAATAACAACTCAAGTGATCCGATCCAATCAAGGGTAGTTGTCTCGGAGTTAATTTGCATTTGTTTAAATTTAGATCCAATACACACAAGCACAAGCACTAAACTTCACTAAATTAAAATGTCATATCGCATAGAAAAGCGATATTTCAGAAAGGGTGGAAGGAGCTGAGAAAGCAAGATTTCGGTAACAGAGCGGGAGAGAGATATCAAAGCCAGAGGAGCAGAGTAGAAGATTCATCTAGCTATATAAGAGTAACAAACCCTTTTTTATCTATATATTTGAAAAATATATATATTTTTTTTAATAGATATACAAATTCATATTTGTAAAAGTAAAATCAAAATGAATTAAGTACTTAAGTACTGCTGCAGATACTTATAACTACTTGTACTTATATTGAAAGAGAGTTGGATTATTTTTGGGAATGGGGATGTTATCAAAACATAAAAAAAGTATTCAAGGTGTATCGTATGGTAGTCTTCGAAATCAGCGTGTTGTCAGACACAGATTTACGGACATTTCGACAAAGCGTAACTTTCCAATCCAGAACATATACATCTTGGGTGTGATTCATGGGGTTCTGGTGTCTTTTACATTCTCTTGTGCAATTTAAAATAACGCTATGTACGAATTGTACAATCTCCGAGATTAGCGAGTTTTTTAACAGACACACGAGCAACTCAATAGAGATCAACTCTCCAATCAATTACATCTTTTGGGTGTTCAATGGGGTTCTGTCTCTCATATTTTCTCACACAATTTCGTTTTTACAGAGCATACAAATACTACAAGCAACTAAAATAAGGCAAAGGACTTACCTGCCAAACGTCTCCGCCATCTTCGGTATCTTGTTCCTGTTCTTCGCCATTTTGTTGGGCATTTGGCTTTGCAATCAACTTGATAACCTATTGAGAAACACATGCATATCAATAATAAATCCCATTTTATATAGCAACTTATAATCGACTCCTACCTCGAGCATCTCATCGTTAAGCTTGTTGAGCACATAGCCCAAGAACTCTTCGGCATCCTCTTGTCTGCCCTCCACGTGCTCCTCACGACTGTCATTCCACAGTTTGTATATTTCAGTGGGCTCAAAGGCAAGATCGCACTGCAAATCAACGCCAGCAAACTCATCCTTGCCCTTGATCTGGGCGGCTTTGTTGTTATTCAAACGCAAGCGGGTACCGCCAGGCAGTGATGAAAAGTTACTCATAAATGACATCCTATAGAAGAAAGAATTGGAATTAAGAGCACGGTTGAACTTTGTAGAAAGCAATATAAATGTGCGTGCATGCAGGTGTACATGAAGCCATCGATGGGTTAATCATGCGTATACACCATGCACCTGCATCGACCTAGACGTTAAGCAAAGATTAAGTCCAAAACGGAAAAAACCAGTGCACGCCTGACAGACCGATGCCAATTGTTATGCCACAGGCGTAACACAGACGCCAGTTGGTTTTGGCGCCAAGGCGTCTGTTGACTTGCCTGTGGCAGCGTGGTGGGCTAATGATGCAACTGGGTCATGGGTTATGCGTCATGGGTCACTTACATGGCATTCACGGTGGGTGTCTTGACCTCGCTCAGCACCGCCGCCTGCTTGGGTATGGAACGCAGCAGATTGTAGAAAGGCGAACAGCCAAGCAGCGCCTGAAGTATGGAGTTGATATAGCAATAATTGGAACGATTAGTCAGACCACGCGGCCGCAGACTGACGGGCGCCAGATTAGTCTTATGACGTGTCAGAAATTCAGCATATTTGTTTGTCCACTCATCTAGTTGAGCGGCACGCATCGGCTCCGCTTTCAGCGGCTTGACTGCTGCAGAGGCGGGAGCAGCCACGGCGGGTACTGCCTGTGCCGAGGCCGCTGAATACGACAGTGTGCCGGGTGTGATAAGCGGCACAGTTGGCGCTGGCACTGGCGTTGGCGATTGCAATTGATGGTGCACGCTGGGCAGGCTCTGTGTTGGCGGTGTTAATGGCAGTTGCTGCTGTGACTGTTGCTGTTGCTGAACAGGCAATTGTTGTGGTTGTTGCTGTGGTGGAGCCATTTGCAGCTGCGGCTGCTGTTGTTGTTGCTGCTGCTGCTGCTGCTGCTGTGGATGATGTTGCTGCTGCAGCTGCTGTTGCTGCTGCTGCTGTTGTTGCTGCAGCTGCTGCTGATGTGGTTGTTGCTGTGCCTTGTTGCCGTCATAGGGCGCCACTTTGGCCACGGGCTTCTTGTTGGAAAACAGACTGGCCCACGATGGTTGTCCGCTGTCTGCGCTGGCGTTGTTTTGCGAGACAGGCGGCGCTGGTGGCGCCAAGTTAAGCGCAGGCTGCACAGACACAGGAGCTGCAGCTGCGCTGAAGGATGTATCTGCACTGAAGTTTTGTGTGCCATACTTGTTCTTAGCTCCATAGCTCACATAGGATTTGGCAGCTGGAGCGTATTGGTTATGACCATGTTGCTGCTGCTGCTGTTGTTGTTGTTGCTGAGACAGCACAGAGGCATTGTTTGTGCTATTTGACTGACTTTCAGTGGACATCTGTTGTTGAAACTGATGAGGCGTTGCTGTTATGCTAGCCGTTGAGGTAGTTGCTGTTGTTGCTGCCGAATTGTTGCTGCTCAGCTGCTGCTGTTGCTGGTGCTGGCCACTGATTTTGCGCTCCAGCGGTGGGGCTGTGCTTGCCACAGGCGATGAGGGCACTTTCATAGTGCCATATGTGCGCATTTGTGGCTGATTGTTGTTGTTGTTACTGTTAATATTGCTGCTGCCACTGTTGTTGTTGTTGTTGTTGTGGCTGGTTTGGTAGTGCTGCTGCTGTTGCTGATAGTGCTGCTGATTAGTGTAGGTCTTAGTAGGATGACTGTAGATGCCAGCACTAACACCGGTTAACTGCTTATTGAAGCCGCCGCCAACACTTGGTGGTGCAGTTGCAGCAACACTAGCAGCAGCAGCAGCAACAGTGGCGCCGTTGTTTACAGTATTTGGCGAGGCTGTGACCGCCACCGACTGCGTGGACTTCTTGTGCTGTGCGGAGTTTGTCCACGACATTGTCTTGGTGGTTTGTATGGCAGTGTCGCTGCTGCCCTGATGGTGATGATGATGTTGCTGTTGATGATTGTACTCCGAGGAGTATTTGCGACGCACTTGCTGTTGTGAGTTGTTGTTGTATTGCTGCTGAGGTGGCTTGCGCTGTTGCTGCTGAGGCGGTTGTTGCTGCTGAGGCGGTTGCTGCTGCTGCTGCTGTTGCTGCTGTTGTTGCTGCTGTTGTTGCTGCTGTTGTTGCTGATGCTGATGGGCGTGTTGCTGCTGTGCATGTTGCTCACTGAGACTGGGCGTGTGTGCTGGCTGTGTTTGTTGCTGTTGTTGTTGCACCGGCTGCGGTTGCTGCTGCTGTTGCTGCTGGGGCACAACTGGCGAAGTTTGTTGCTGCTGATGTTGCTGCGGTGGCGCTGCAGCTTGTTGATGTTGCTGCTGCACCTGCAGTTGCGGCGCTACGGTGGCAATGGATACTACCAAACTGGCTGGCTGTTGATGTTTATCAACTTGGTGCAGTTGCTGCTGTTGCTGTTGATATTCAAGCTCTAGTTGCTGCTGCTGCTGTTGCTGCTTCTCGCTGTTGGCAATCAGTGTTTCATCCAAAGCCGACTCGTTCGAGCTGCTGATGTTGTTGTTGTTATTATTGTTGTTGGTGAGCAGCGTTTTATCAACTGTAAAAGAAAAGAATTTCCTGTGTTCAGTAAACTCTCAAAAAAAAAAAGAACATAGCCCCCTGCATCCAACAAAAATTCCCCTCTTCTTTATCCACTTGAGTTTTATCTGTTGTGGTTCCTACAGCTACACAAAATACGCCCAATTGTTGTGCATAATACAGAAAATAATTTACAATATCTTCATAATTGATACCAATTGATGTCATATAAGATATTTTTATTTGAATCGGATGTTGCTGTTGTTGTTGCCAAAAATTTCCTATCCTTAAATTTTGAAATGTATTTTAATTGATTTGTTGTTTCGGTTTTTTATCTTGAAATTAATGACTTGAATGAAGGGCAACTGCATGTAAATAGCAATGTGGATATACTGTGTGTTTATGTACAGTTCAGAAAGTAGCTCACAATATCAAAAAGTCAATATAGACTTAGTACACACGACGCTAATCAGCATAGACAATAGAGATGCGCCTGACCGACAATAGAGGAAATTGAATAGAACCCGGGAGCTGATTTTACTGCACTTTAATCGGACACGTCTAACAGCAGCAATAACAACAACATTAGAGATAACTGTCACTAAATGGTCGCCACAGCAACTGTTGTTATTGCTCGACGATAAGGCATGCCACATATTGCTGACTGTTGCTGTCCAATCAATTTGTTGGGCATTGCAGCAAGTACTCTATAACAATACTCAATCCATGTCCATTACAAGTGTGGGCAGCACCCACTCGGAAACAGAGATAGAGAAGTTCCATAAAGTTCCGTTTGGACGAACAACATTATTATTATTAGAGTAAATCACAATCGGTGCCTCATACTGTGAACTCATTTCGGTAGCTGAACTTTGCGCCCTCTCTCTGATATGGGCCTTACGATAAACCCGTCCAAAACATGCTTGTCGATAAGGTGGGCACTGCCTGTTATCAGGAAAAGTGCTTAAATAATGCACACGTGATTCGGAGAAGTCAACGAAGCGATGCTGTTGCCATTGACGCCTATTTGTCATTAATAAATGCCTAATTAATAATCCCAACTGATACGCAATGTGGGAGCTGCAGCTCTGGGTCTTGCCCCAAGTACTTACAATTACGCGCTGTAAATATTAACACTTGATAAGGCCCTAGCCACAACGGGCGTCTGGAGGGGCGACCCACAAGGCTGTTCACATGGCCACTGAACATTGAGGTGCGCCTGAGACTGTGAGAATATGGGACAGCAGACTTATGTTTGCACAGCTGAGGAAGTACATAAATCCCGTATTAATAAAACATTACACTTTCACAATCCCATAAAAAATATAGTAATTTTTCCCATGGGAAGTACTTGGGTTCAATGCAATGAGTACACAATCTGTCTCTATATATAAAAGTGTTTGTTCCGATTGATTGACAAATTGACTGCATGACGGAATGACATAAACTGAGCGAGAAATCTGAGAAATGTTTACTGTAGATACCTTTTGTGATGAAGCTGCACACTTAGAAGGGGTTTAAGAACAACCGTAAGTGTGGAAAAAGTGCGGAAAACGGTTGGATGAAACTTGTTGGTTTAAAATAAACCTTAATTGTAACTCTTATGTCTTAATTTGTTGAAAGCATTTGCAAATAGCTAGCACTACGGGCGGAAAATGGGTGAAAAATTGATGTCTACAATTTGAAACAAAAATCTTCGATCGGTTAAGGCCGGGAAACTATTTATACAAGGTGAAATACTAACTCTTTGTATATTAAATATGTGTGGGACAAATCGTGAGAATCTTTAAATGCACACATTTTTTCGGCCATTTTCCACGTTAGGGAATAAAATTTGAAGGCGAAAACTTTTTGAGTTTTCGCCTAAACTAAGAATGAAATTTACTGTGGAATCCAGATTCCGAACTAACACAGAATTATATATAATACGTACACATAAGAAAGAACAGGATTCCAGTTTATTACACTTGAGTAGAGGACAAAAAATTTCCAAGTATGTATTCGACAAACTTAATTTCTTAAAACAAAAATAAAATGTTGACATAATTTTCAACTGCACACGAATCTAATACGAATTCAATTGCAAAACTTTCATCCTCTGGCTATTGCTGCTTGACAATTTGGGAAGAAACAAGCCTCCCATTTGCCACATGGCCGCGTGCCACAATGTAGGCCATAGACGAACGATTAGAATTATATTAATATGTGTATGCACCATTAACAATATATGTGAGCAAAGCTATTTAAAATTTTATTAACGCCTATATCATAACGAATGCTTTCAGTATACAATTAAAATGCGGTGCTAAATATTATTTACCCCATAACGTCATATGACAAACACAGTAAAAAAAAAGCAAAAGGCAGCAGGGCCGCCAGACGGAATCGGATTTCCAACAATAGTAGAGCAGCAGAATTCCGAACTCAATGTGTTAATTAATTTCAATTAACATCTAACAAGCGGCCAACAATAAATACACACTCAAATGATAGGAGTAAAAACTGGAATAGAGCTCTCAAAATTGAAATGAAAATTTGCGAGAGCAGCTTTATGTGTGGCAATAATTAGAAACCACTCAAATGCAAAGTATATAAAAAACTAGAAGTTATAATTTCAATCGTTCACAGTCCAATAACACTGTAAAACAGGCTATATGCAAAGATTATGAAGAGTTTCAATACATGAATCAATCTTTAGAATGGCTCAATATTAGTCTGCGCTCCAAAGTTGCTTGAGAACTGTGAAAGATAAAGATTTTCCTGATTTCCCATGCACCCATGAGGAGTAGCCTTTTAATCCTGACACTTCAACCGACACCTGCACACATGAGTATAGAAATCTTTAACCTAAAAAGCGTCGAAGTTAATACAGAACTCACAAATATGAAATGAAAACTTATAGAGTATTCACTCGTAATGCGAATTGCATGCAAATTATATAAAAAGCCTAGAGACTATAATAAAAAACTGTGCCAGGGGAAGTGTCAGATTTGGTAGCGACGATGAGCTGAGAGAACTGCAGTATGACAAGGTTGGCTGGATAATTACAGACATGAGTGCACAGGTAAATTACAAAAAGCAACAACAATGAGAGTTAAACATGTTAGGCTAATAATAGCAGGCAGCAACAAAAGTTGAATGCAACAATGCAAAACAAGGAAATCCACAACGGCACGAAAAAAAAAATCGAAAACAAACGCGACTGTACTTTACTCTTACACGTGTAAGCATTGGCCAGGGGCGTAGCGGGCAGTTACATGGAAGTGGAAGTGAAAGAGTAAACAGCATTAGCACAGTTTGACGTCTCCGACACTTGACTGGGGAGTGGACAAATTCGCTTTCGGTTTCACTATGAAAACTGTTCTACAGCCAAAACATGCACATCATATCATATGCCAGTTATACATTACGCAAATGAATTTGCGTTTCTCTCGATACAATACAATGCGCTATATTTGAACAAACGAGATTTTGTAATCGTTGCTTTTGTTGTTGTTGTGGAGGTCTATTTGATATTTAATTGATTTTTCTTTTCAACAAACTGACAAAACGGGGTCATCACCAACTGGAGAGCAGCCCCCAAAAGCGGGGCTGTTGCTGTCTCGATTTACCGATTTTCCCCTCTCCTCCCCTCCCCGTCCCCGTCCCCCTCATCCTCCCCTCTCTCCATGACCCATCTGTGTGGACAGTTGTTGTTATTGAACGCGCGATTTTATTCAATTTTTATTAGCAGCAACAAAAAACAACAACAACAACGAGAACAATAACAACGATTGCCACATTCAAGTAATTTATGTTTGGCTTACAATTTACGAATTTTAAAGCCATTTAACCGATGACAGAGTGGGAGAGTGAGAGAGGGATAGAGAGAGAGAGCTACGTGTTCTTTAAAACTTTAGAATTGAGTTTCTATATCAATTTTAATTGAACCAAATACTAGCAGTAGACACCTAATACAATCAAACCAAACATAAACAAATAGTATAATAATTGAGCAAATTAATCATTAAAAATAAATAAATACATTTCACAAACAACAAATGAAAGCTTTAATCAATATGTTTACTTCTTAAATGTATAACGAATGAATATTTTCATTGCTGCCCATCACTGAAACCAAATTGGAGAGTAAAAAAGTAATAAGCGAAATAAATATGACAAAGTGGCATACATATATCAATAGTCAGAACATTAAAACAGGAGAACAAAACTTGAGTTAACTGCATTCACACTTTAAAGCATCACAAAACAGATATCTTTAGATTAGTCTTAGGATTAAAGAGTTTGTCCTAACAGATTGAATGATTGGAGTGAGTTTAAAGCAAAGCTGAAACCGAAGCTAGAAAGCTAAACTGGGTTTTTGGAATATTCGAGTTCTAAGTGAAACACAATGGTATTCATATATGTCTTAAAAAATATCAAGGCATAGAAGTGTGCTTCGTTCTTGCGTGGCTTAAATGTTTGAGCGTCGGACTAACAAACGGGCAGTCGCCGGTTCAAATTCAGCAACAATTCGTAGTTTTCGTTTCTTAGTCTCTTTAATTTGGTTTTATTCATATCAAATTAGCCAATAGAAATAAATTTAAAACTAACAAAGAAATATAAAATGATTGTTTCTCCAACAGTAAGATTTATTTTTTGTCAACTTCAATGCTCTAACATATATCCTTTGGCAGGACCCAACCGTTCCATATCAATCCAATACCAAACATACATTAACTATTTATGAACCTATATTATAATTTATGCATGTAATCTATGCCAATATACACAATTATTCATATTTGATAAAAAGGGTTTAGCATTACAACAAAAATAAGCTAAGCTTAGTCACATTTTAATGTATGATTTGACTCACAGTAACAACAACAAATGAAAACAAAACAACTCAAAGTCCATAAACCAACACAAAAGCTGCGCAACGAAGGAAAAATGTGTCGAGATATATATATATATATATATATATAATCGTATATATAAGTATGTACTGGCAATATAAGTATATTCCCATGCGATAAACAGAAAATGACACAGCTATGTTTATTAATAAGTGAAAATGAATTATTTTAGTATGCATTTTCAATCAAAAGTAATTTGTTGCTTATCAGCAGCTGGGCAAAAAAAAAACTTGAAAGCATAATGCAATAAACAAATAAAGCGTATTATAACTATATTGCCACACGTGGTACTCGCTTGTTGTTGTTTGTTTTGCTGTTGTTCCTGTACAAATACATATATAAATTGATAACGAATCTCGACAACAATGCGCCGTATTATGGGTGGTCGGATTCGATGACAAATAACAACAGAAAAATACACAAATGCGTAAACTTTTGACTGCCTGGCAACAGTTCCACAAAACTACAACTGAAAGCACCCTGTTAAATGTGGCACCCTGTTGCATGTGGCACCCTGTTCTTCTGTTGTTGTTGCTGCTGCTGTTGCTCTAGCAATTCAATTGAATTCATTTGTGTCAATTTACAATAAATAATAGCCAAAGAACTGTGGCTGCCCGCAAAGTAAACAATAAGCCAAAGAAATTGCATAATTCTCTAAGACGACAAACGGCACGCGACCTTCGTCTAGAACAAAGCTAGAAAATTGCCCCTGGCACCGTCGCCAAATCCGAATCCGCCACCACCTGTCGGCGGCATACACAAAAAACAAACAAGCGGCTAAGAACTGTAAAGCGTTTTTTCTTATCAATGAAAGCACTAGCCAACAAATTATTTACGAGTGCTTCGGCGGCGACGACAGCGTTGAGGCTTGTAGCTATAAAGTGGGCGGTGTGAGCATATTCAGCCATTTTTCGTATACCCTGTAGACATTGAAAACTGATAGCAGGTAGAAGGCAACTATGAACACATATATTCTTGATCAAACTATACGTGCTTGAGACTTGAAACTTAATATTTTTCATTTCATTCGATATTACCCACTTCCATACTATCGATATATATCGATTTTGAAACAAAATATTTAATTAAACTATCCGAGTTAGAAACATGAATTTAAATATTTCATTCGACATCATCCATTTGCATATTTTCGATATATATGGATTTTCAAACAAGATTCCTTATATTAGTATTTTTATTTATTTATTTATCGAGTATTCATATCCCCGTTTTCGCAATATCGATATATATCGACTCTGAAGGATGATATCTGAAGTTGGCTCACAATAAAATCGAAAAATATCCTTTTAAGACTTTACTCTTTCGTATTTACATACATTTTGATGTCAGATTTAGGATCTGAATATTTGAAATAGATCGAACTAGAAACAACAAAGTTATTGAAGGTTAGATATACCATAGTGAGAGGCTAAAGAGGAGAAATCGCTTCATCAAGTGCGCAGATTGCGTCCTTGTATGTGTGTAAATGTGGGCGTGTGAGTGCTTGCGGATTCATATATAAATGAAAGCTCGAATGTTTTTGACATTGGCATCTACTAGGTGCTAGTTATTTCGCGCAAGAATTGTCGTTGATAAGTATCGATGGGTGGGCGGCAGTAGCAGCAGCAGCCTGAATGGGGAGGAGAGAGGCTGAATGGGTGAACAACTGAAAGACAACTGACAGCTCGACGACAGGATAAATGGTAAAGTAGCAATAGCTGTTTCAGGAGCACAGCAGGGACACACGCTTCGGCTGGCGCTTGTTATGTTTATGTGTGTATCCTGCTGGCACCAGCATATAGATGCGTATAACAGTTGGCACGTGGGCAGCAGACGGGCAATTCCTTCTATCAGATACAAAAGTATCTAACGGGTACAACAGAGGCCAACAATAACAAGTACACCTGGGAAATGAGCTACGAATGATGCGCAGCGAAAGCAACAAGTAAAATACCAACGCAAGCAAAAAATATAAAAATTGCCAGCGACAAAACTGCGTCATTTTGTAAATATATATTGGCATAGGATACAGATGTGTATATAGCATATTGATGCATATATATATATGCACGCTATATAGTACTGTGAAAATGAGAAAAACTGAGGAAAACTCACAGCGTAAAAAATAC